TAAAGACATGGCTTTTCCAACAAGCGGGATTGGCCTAGGGAATTTTAGTGGGGTTTTTTAAGGGAAATTTTAATTTTTAGGCCACTGCAAATATTTCCTTTTAATCTGGTTTTAAATTGATATTTACTGTAATATTGGTTTTATAAGGCTGTCAGCCGCCCTGAGTCCGGTAAGGAGAAGGGCGGGATACAAATCAAATGAAGAAGAAATAATGGAATACTGATCCTACTTGGATCAGATTGTTCCCAACCCTACGGTCAGCCCACTTGTCATGTCACCTCACTTGGAGATCAGATTGTTTCCAACCCTACTGGCCTTTTGTAAGGCATAAAGATACTACTGTGCCACTGAACCTGGGGACCTGAATGTGTAATAGAGCCTATGTAGAGGTTATGTTGAATGTAGATTGTTTTTTAGCTCTTAGATTCTATGTTGCTCTTTTGTAGTTGTTTTAAATTTTGTAAGCCACCCAGAGTCACGCAATTGAGATAGGTGGCTATACAAACTGAAGAAATAAACAATAACACTCTTTGATCCTGTGGATTGGTGAATTCTCTGAGTCATTCTCCACCAGCAGGAGATTAGAAGACTTTTGCCCTTTTCCCTTCACACCTTGAAAATCTGTTTAGACAGTAGCAAAATGTGCCTCTTCCCCTTTTCCGTCAGAGAGAATAAAAATATTCCTTGGAAAAAAGGAATCCTTCTGTTTAAAGAAGTTAAGACAGGACCAAAATCTGTTATATAGCCAGATACAAAACATAAAAACTGGCTAGATTAAAAATTCTGGTAAACAGACCACAAAGGTCCACACAGGAACCATGACTTTCTGACAATCTTTCAAGGCAGAGGAAAGAAAGAATAGCTAGCACAGGTTTTCTTTGGGACAGTTTCAATGCTCAGTTGCCTTTATCAAGAAAGCTCTGTCCTACTCATTCAGAAGGTAATAATTTCTTTCTCTAATATAGATATTCCTTGACGTATGACCATTCATTCAGTGTGATCACCACCTCAATCTTCCCTGCTGCCTTCCCCAGAAATTCAATGGGTAAATTGGAAATGGGTTGCAAATTGCTAGGGTGAATCTCCCACGCCCGTGGATTGTTTTCCAGCCCCTCTGCACTTGTGCCGGCCAGTCACCTATCCCCATGCACTTGCTCCGAACCTTTATACCTCCACAGGCCTCATCACATCTCCCTCACATCCCTGTGTACCTTCCTAATCCTCTTGGTATCTCCCTTGGGCACCCTCCCTGACCCTTGCCATGCCTCTCTTGCACACTTTTACAACCCCTCGCACCCCATATATTATTCCCGAGCCTTGCTGTTGCATCCCTTGAACTGCTGCTGGCTGAGGAAATGGTCAAGAGAGGCATGAGGATGGTTGGGAAGGCATATCCCACACACTCTCCTCAACCATCCTCATGCCTCTCTTGACCATTTCCTCACCCAGCAGCAGTCACTAAGCTGCCTTGCTAACCTACTTGCAAGATGCATGGTAGTTGCAACATCCTGTGGGCTTCCCCACTGACATGTTTGTGGGAAGCCAGCTGGAAGCAGCCTCACCTACAGACCCTGGGATTTGGTTAATGATGGAAACCAGGATTACAGGATTGCTAAGCGACGTGGTCACACTTTATTACCCCATTGCTTAGCAACAGAAATTCTGGTCCCAATTGTCATTGTAAACTGAGGACTGCCGATAGGTGATGGTAGAAGGTGGAATACAGCCGGCGTCTTCCAATAATCTGGATTCAAAATAAGCAAGCAGTTTTTTCAAACAAGTTCAAAAGCACACCAGCAGGAAAAATAAACTATAGCAAGCTTGATGTGATAACAAATGTGCCTCAATATTTCATTCCTTAGAGAATCAGGACATAAAATCTATTTATATGGGCAGATATATGCAGTGAGCTGCCTTTTAACTTAACGCAGATGAGATTCCACTGTAGGAAAGCTGATTTTGCAAAGGTTTTCCTGCTGTACCTTATTAACAACTGCTTTCTATTAGAGACTATGTGGCGGTTTTGTACTGCCTACAGAAATAACACATATGCTGAAAAATTCAAGAAGGCAGCATTATAAAACTGTAGCATCTAGAGCAGTAGTGGCGAACCTATGGCATGTGTGCCAGACGTGGCACTCAGAGCCCTCTCTGTGGGCACACGCGCCATGTCCCAGAGATGGCAACCGTCCCTCTTCAACCAGCCACCTGCTAACACGCTGAGGTCCCACATGGCTGGATGCATCCCAGCACCCATGCGCTCGCTGGCCTCTGTGTACGGCGGCCAATGGTGTCAGGCAGCAGCTGCCCCAGCCCCTGCCTCACCTTGTCCTGTGACAATGGCACCCCTGTCCTGCCTCACCTTGTCTCGCCTCACCCCGCAGGACAAGCCTCTTGCTCACCACCCCACCTGCTGGAGACCCCTTGGATCTCCCCCAACCCTGCCCAGCCCCCACAGGCATCCCTCCCCACGAGCAACATTGAGGTGATCATGCCCACCTTGGCCACACCCACGCCCACCCAGTGGGCCATGCCCACCTGGCACCCGGCAATAAATAAGTGGGTTTTGGGTTGCAGTTTGGGCACTCGGTCTCTAAAAGGTTCGCCATCACCGATCTAGAGCAACAAATGAATGGATCAGAAAAACAGTCAAGTCCCCTAATGAATGCCAAAATAGTTTAAACCGTTTCCAAGTTTAGAGTTCTAACTGAAAAACCAGACAATCGACATTATTCAACTGTATTTAGTCCTATACTCTTCATCATACAATAGTAAGGGACAGTCAGCTGAAGTATCTTCCAGTGTCTTGAATGGCATCAGCTGCCTAGAATTATTTAGAAATATCCAATCCAAAGAAAATGTGGTTTGTGTTTGCCATTGCGTAGCTGAATTAAACAAGTGAGCCTCCAGCTCTGAACATTTTTCCTTATAGTCTCATTTGTGACATCACACTGTACTTACTCTTTGAGAAAGAGAAAGGGACTTCATAGAAATAAGCTCCTGCGTAGCTCTTACAAAAAAATATTAATTTGCTGTGGCTTTAAGCAAATTCCTTTGGTTATGGTGTACACAGAGATGATTTCTTAACACTTCCAGCAGTGTTTTCAGTGGGCTTGTAGGAAAAACGCATAGAAGCACTGGAGCAACAGAAAAACTGTTTCAACATAGACTTATTATTGATGAAGTATTACCTGCTTCCTATTATTGATGAAATAATAGCATCACTGATTGCTACCACATCGAACTATGCTATATTATTGATCCATGATAAAGTTAAACAATCCACGTGAATTAAAAGCCAGTCTATCTCAAGTAGTGCCGCTGCTTTTATTCTTCTTCACGGCAGAGGTTTCCTAAGAAATTATTTTTATATTGTAGATTATATTAATTGATGGGTGATTCTTACACTGCTGCAAAATCATTTTAGAAGGAAGCTTTGCAACCTTTCACTTGGTCACTATAGCAATTACCTATAATTCATCAATCTACAAAGGAAATCCTAATTTATTTGTTGTATCTTCTGCTTTTTTCAAATCTAGACTAAATAAAGTTAGTGCAAACAGCAGTGTTTCCAAAGCCAGCAAAGGAACTGTGGTACATTTCTTCATAATCAAAAGTATATGAGTCTCGAGGGTGATATAACTAAAACTCTTAAAAATAAAGAAGAAGAATTTTCATTTAGTTTGGACCAACTGGGGTCATATTACTGGCTCAGCATCTTTTTCTAGTCATACCTGTTGCCACAGCTTCAGGCAAATCGGTTTTCCCAGACACTCCCTTCTAGTTCCTTAGCTGAAGCAGATATTTTGAAACCAGCACTACATTCCTGACTCTTTTCTAAGCAGCTCAAGCTTAGCAAATATCATGTCTATTACTGGAAATATACAACATTTAGTTTCTCGGAAACATTTTTTAGTAAACCAAATCTCGTCTTAGCTTGAAAAAACATTATAATGCATGCCTATCCATTGACATGGGTCAGATCCTTAAAAAAAATTCCACAATTTCACAGAACCTTGACTTTTCCTTGGTCATATAACAGCTGTCCGTTTAGATTATCGTGCAAAGCAATACTTTGTAAGGTTGATTTTGGATTGCAAAATCCATGCAATAGCTGCAAAAAGCCTGCATAAGATAGTTGAACTATGATCTTCATCTTACAGACTATTGAGGAAGACTGTTCAGGGAAGGGCAGTTTGTCTAAGATTACCTAATGAATTCATGGCAGAGCTGAGAACTGACAGTAAACTCATAGTTTAAAAGCCTGGTCCTTATAAAAAAAAATGACTTCATTCACGTACAAGTTCCCGTCTGCAATGAAATAAATAACTTGGAAAAAGGATTTTATAATATAACTGAAAGACAAATAGCCAAAGAAGCAAGGAAAAGGAAATCTCCCAGAAGATGAACTGAAGGAATCAAAATTCAAGAAACGAAGACCCATCAGTTTGGTTCCTGAACTGGGTGGGGACAGTAAAAGAAAAGTCGAACCTCAAAGACACTCACCTTTGCTGGTTCTCAAGGAAACAAAAGTTCAGTTTCACTGTTCCCTCTGAGAAGTCTCATTGCTAATAATCACTGCCTTGGTGCAAAGACAGCTTTCATTCACAAACCAACACCCTAACATCACATGCCCAGCCCATAATTAATATGCTCACAACAATTCAAAGCCCAGCCCACAAAAAAACTATGAGAGACATTATTCTATTACTCAACAGCTTCCAGCAAATGCACCTGTCAAAACGGGCAGCAAAGAGTTCTTAGGTCTCCATTCTTCCAGCAGGTGAATATAGATTCCAGTACCAAATGAAAGGAAGACCATGATCTTTTTCAAAGACAGATAGCCTTCCTGGCAAATAACTGCATTATGTCATCAACTGACAGAAAAGGTGTTGATGATCCTAGCAAATCTATATGCTCTCTCTGCACCATCGCACTGCATGTTTACAACAAGATCAGAGAACTTGGGAGTTGAGCAACTATTTGCTATAACATTTTAAAAAGTTTTTAGTAAAACTAGCACCCCAGTGGTCAAAGCATCATAACTGAAGAATCTGCCCTGATGTAACATTCTTGGGGACCCTCAAGAATTGCATTGCCCCTTCCCCCATTTTCCCCCCCAGGCAATACTAAAATAATACAGGCATTCAACTTATAACCATTTGTTTACCATTAGACTCTAGAAAGAGTACAGAGAAGAGCAACAAAGATGATTAGGGGACTGGAGGCTAAAACATATAAGGAACGGTTGCTGGAATTGGGTATGTCTA